ATGTTTCAATCGCCAAAGATTAGGCCATTTAGCAGAAGTATGCAAGGTGTAAATGTGGAGGTGAACACGGTTATGGAGAATGTGGGGATCTAGTTGAACCTAAGTGTTGCAACTGTCATAGTGCAGCATATTTAAGATGTGTAGCGCAAAAACAAGCCGTGGAAGCAATGCAGTACAAGTCAGAGCATATTGATTCATATGCACAAGCTGTAAAGAAGGTTCAAATTGAGCAAAGACATAGGACGAGTTATGGAAGGTCTGATGCAACTGAAACACCAAACAAGGGAACAGAGAGGTATAAAACAAATATAGATGCGAGTATGCTTATGGTCAGCAAATGGCTTAAATCTCAATCAGACTTTGTCATTCCAGGGTATTTATCCATTAGGAAATATAGATCAAGAGCAACAGATGGAGAGTGTGCAACGGTTATAAAGAATGGGGACGTAAAGGTAGGAACACAGTATGAATGCATTAAGGTGGAAGTGTGGACAACATTAGGAAAAGTAGCAATAATAAATTACTATTTGTTACCTGTGAACAAATATCTTTAATGGAATTAAATAACATTTGGAGTAAAGAAGAAGGTATAGTGATATGGTGCGGTGACTTTAATGCACATAGTGTGGTATGGCTTGTGATGGATAATGAAAATAGGCCCCACTAGTGTTAATATTGTCATAGCAATTTGACGAGTAAAGAGAAAGCACATAAAATGGCAATTTCAATAATTAAGCATAAATGTGTATTAAGTGTAACATCCAACTTACATATGTAAAAATATTTAAACAGGTTAACAAAACTGAAGTGCAAGTGAGCTTGAAAAATGAAAATAAATTGATATTCATGAAACACAAATGTATAAAATTAAATATAAATGAATTATACACAAAAACTAAATAAAATTAATAGAGCATAAACAAAAATAAACATCAGTGTTGAGTTCTGCATTAATTGATTATAACGTAACTGTGAGATCATGATGAACCTAAGTGAGTCACAGCTTTTTAGTGATTATAAAGGAACACTCTTTGCTCCATAGCAATGAATGGCACAAACATATTGTGGTTAGGCCATATATATATATATATATATATATATATATACAGTATATAATATTAAGGTTAGATCACCCTCACTAATTTCAGAAGCAACCTCAGTGATTGATTCTGGAGCCAGGTCTGTAATTAGTTAAGGTAACACACTGAAATGGCTCAATTTTCCCTCACAAGTCTGTCTGTGATCGAGGGCATCATAGCATTTATAAAACTAATACTAATACCACAGCCATAAATATTATGTATAGCAGTCAGAACATCTTTTTTTCGCTCCATAAAGATACCGTTTGGATTCCATTTCTACCACAATTTCACTTTAATCTCTCTATCATTCTTTCAATTCCAAAATCTGAACTGTAACTAGAAACGTTTCCAGATCAACGTTTTCTTTATTTGAACACTAAGTTTGCTGTGCCTGTTTGTAGGTCTGCACAATTTGGCCCAAATAATTGTTGTTTTATATATCAATATGACTACTAATAATTCTGATTATAGTTATAACTCAATAAAAACATTAAACAAAGTAATATTGATCATGATAATTATTAATATTATTATATTATAATTATTATTATTATTAAAACTGCAGGCCTATAACTAGCCTATAATTGTTTAGAAAGGTCTAAGGATTTATTATAAATGATTATGATTAAAAATCATTGACAGTAATGTTTTAATTTTATGCACACTGAGAGAGAGAGAGAGAGAGAGAGAGAGAGAGAACTCCTCTACACTGGAGACAAACTTAGAGAGAAGTATTATTTTCCCTATTTTTACCCAAAATAAGGTGTAGTGAGTAGCTGTAGCTGCTTCATTCATACTGGTAGCCAGAGGGCGCCCTCGTGCAGTTAAACCATAAGTGAAAAAATCACAAAATGAAATACAAAAATCACTGTTGGAGGAAATCCCTAATATGGACAAAAGCATATGCTACCGCTGCAGTAGCTGAATAAAACGCAGATAGGACGTTTTAACTGATGAAGAATGAAGACAATAAACATAGGATTGTGACTAAATGGTGTATCTCTGTTCTTCAAGCCATCACGGGTATTTTTTTATATGCAGAATGTATATTTATAATGCAATGCTAATCGACATAGCCTTTATCACGGTATAGAATATTATATGAAACCAGGTCAGATCCGTGGCTCTACCCAGACTCAGGGTAAAAATGAGCCTCAAACTCAGATAAAAATGGCACAGTGGTGGAAGAATACAAGGAAGACAATTTATCGTTATGCTTAAATGATGGTAGTGGGGCAAAACAAATAAAGTCATGCGCAGACCTAACCATAATTTCAGCATCAATGGCAGAGAAATGTCAATGGGAGGTGTTAGAGCACGGTAGGGTCAGACATGCGAAGGAGTATGATGGTAAAACAACATAGATGGACATTAGAGAAAGCTGGTTGGGAGAAGTATAATAAAATATGTGAGTTAGAATGAATGAGGATGATATTGATAAGTGTACAGAGAAAGTAAGTTAGATTTGTTAAGCTATAGCAGTTAAAGAGGGATTCGTGGCAGTTTACTCTGATATGGAAAAGCATATGACATGTTGTGGAAGCAGGGATTACTTATTAAAATGAAGAGTATTGGAGTAGAAGGAAGAATGTATAATTGGGTTTTAAGTTTTTTATTTGACAGAACAATTCAAGTTAAAGTGGCTGGTGAAGTATCTCAGACTCTAAGTGTGGAAAACAGCTCGCCTCAGGGAAGTGTGATCAGTCCTGTATTATTTAATATAATGATTAATGATATATTTGGAAAAGTGGCTCCGGGAATTAGCACTGGGTTATATGCAGACGATGGTATAATGTGGAAAAGAGGAAGGAATATATCTTTTAATATAAATCAAATTCAAGAAGCTATAGAAGTAGTTGAAAAATGGTCATTAGAATGTGGATTTAAATTCTCAATATCAATATCAATATCAATTACCCAATAGTGGTAATATCCCCAATTCCACCCTGGATACTAGCCCGACCTGAAATAGACATAACATTACATGAAAACAGAAGGGAACTGGATGCAGCGGCTAGTTTAATTACATATGTAAATGAGTATATAAGGAACTCACACTACTCATTTCTTCAAATACAGTATATACAGACGGGCCAAGAGTAAAGACACTGGAAGGACAGGGTTTGAGGAAGAGGAAGAGGAAGAGGAAGGATAACAGATGGTGCATCAGTATATACAGCTGAGATGAGAGCTGTTTTAATGGCACTAGAGTGGGTGTATGAAGTTAGACCTGATCAAGTATAATATGTTCTGATTCAGTGGCAGTCCTTATGAGTTTACAATCATTGGAAACAAATAGAATGGACACTTGAACAGAAATCATGATTAGGTTATAGTTTACGACAGATGAGCATATAATCTGATTTACGGTGGGTACGGAAAGTATTCAGACCCCCTTAAATTTTTCACTTTTTCTTATATTGCAGCCATTTGCTAAAATCATTTAAGTTAATTTTTTTTCCTCATTAATGTACACACAGCACCCCATATTGACAAAAAAACACAGAATTGTTGACATTTTTGCAGATTTATTAAAAAAGAAAAAATGATTTTAGCAAATGGCTGCAATATAACAAAGAGTGAAAAATTTAAGGGGGTCTGAATACTTTCCGTACCCACTGAATGTGGGCACCAGCACACCTGGGAATTCAAGGTAATGAGGAGGCTGACAACATAGCCAAAGAGTCAATTAAAATGAAAGAACCCAATATAAACATTGCACTCAGTAGATCAGAAGGAGAACAGATCTAGGAAACGTCAGACACTCGTGTCATACAGATCGACACTATTACACCATTCAAAGAAGCATGAAGAAAAGCTAAATCATTCACTACTTAAGTAGAAGAGAACAAGCTATTTTACACATCTACAGGACATTCAAATCTAAGTCATACTTTACACATTATAGGGAAGCATAACACGGGTCTATGTGATGTCTGTTTAACTGAGGAGACTGTAGAGCATGTTATGAAGATATGTAAGACATATGAAAGAGAAAGGAGGATTCTTAAGGAAGAATTACAAGCAGTAGGATGCCAGGAATTTACTATAACCAGCTCCAAATTCAGGAAAACAAATACATGCAGTCATTAGATTTATTAAGAATAGTGGGTTATATAATAGGATATATTAGGAGGGCTTAGTGCATTCTCTTCACACTCCATCACAGTAGGTGGCGGTATGCACCTTTGAAGTTGGTTCGCAACCCGCCATAAAATCAAAAGAAGAAGAAGAAGAGGATGTCGGAGGATCAGTTCGATACAGCGTCGCACAGGGATGCTGGCGGAATCCATTTTTTGGCGGGTTAGCATCAACTGTGCTGAGACTGGAGAGGATGGATGCAGGTAGTATGGATGATGAAGATGATTCTTCAATAATTGATAGTGAGGGATGGTCTCAGGTACCAGATGCATCAAACAAACGAAAAAATAGAGAATCTGAGTCGGATGACAATATCACAGAGATAGGAGGAAATAACAAAACCAGGAAAATGGCATTTTCCGGAAAAATCGAAAACATCAACAATCCAATGAAATTTACAACTTAATTCTACACGTATATAACAGGAACACACAGTAGTGGATGCTGTGAAACATGCCAAGTGAAGGAAACAGTTGATCATGTGTTGTTACTCTACTACGTATGAACCGGAATAATGAACTACAAAGAGAATTACAGAACTTAGGATGCAATGAATTTTCAATCTGCAACACATTAAACACAATACAAGGATGTGGTAAAATAATAAAGACAATTTTAAAATTCATTAGGAATAGTGGACTTAAGAATAGCATATAGAATTCATAATATATACCTAGACTGAAATCACTTCACACTCCAGCACAGGAGGTGGCGGTATGCACCTTAAAAGCTGGTATGCGACCCGCCAATAAATCCACAGAAGAAGAAGAAGAAGAAGAGGATGTCGCACTTCCGCTTCCGGTTGCGTCACCGCTGTGCTGGGCTCGGCAGGAGTTGACAGCTGCTCGTCTGTGAACCCAAACTAGGTGAGTTCATCATGTGCTGCCTAGGGCACTGCGCTCCACACACACACACACACACACACACTGCCTCCGGCTTTATTCTGTAAATGATGCGAGAAGCGCGCGTTTGGCTTCATACGGATCAGTCTGTACTAATAACTGCATGATGACGTATATATATATATATAAGTGCGCGCTCACAGAGATGCTGTGTCGTGACGTCAGAGTCCATAATGTTTCGACGTTTCCTAAATATGGATCCATGGACTCTCTCTCTATCTCTCTCTGTATGAGTGAGTGTAAGAGAGAGAGTGAGTGAGTGAGTGTGTGTGTTGTGTGTGTGAGAGAGAATATGTGTGTGTGTGTGTGTGTGTGTGTGTGTGTGTGAGAGAGAGAGTGTATGAGTGTGTGTAAGAGAGAGAGTGCGTGAGTGAGTGTGTGTGTGTGTGTGAGTGTATGAGAGTGTGTAAGAGAGAGTGAGTTTGTGTGAGAGTGTGTGAGAGTGTAAGAGTGTGTGTGTGTGAGTGTATGAGTGTGTAAGAGAAAGTGAGTGTATGAGAGTGTGTAAGAGTGTGTGTGTGTGTGTGAGAGTGTGAGAGTGTGTGTGTGTGAGTGTATGAGTGTGTAAGAGAGAGTGAGTGTATGAGAGTGTGTAAGAGAGAGTGAGTGTATGAGAGTGTGTAAGAGAGAGTGAGTGTATGAGAGTGTGTAAGAGAGAGTGAGTGTATGAGAGTGTGTAAGAGAGAGTGAGTGTATGAGAGTGTGTAAGAGAGAGTGAGTGTATGAGAGTGTGTAAGAGAGAGTGAGTGTATGAGAGTGTGTAAGAGAGAGTGAGTGTATGAGAGTGTGTAAGAGAGAGTGAGTGTATGAGAGTGTGTAAGAGAGAGTGAGTGTATGAGAGTGTGTAAGAGAGAGTGAGTGTATGAGAGTGTGTAAGAGAGAGTGAGTGTATGAGAGTGTGTAAGAGAGAGTGAGTGTATGAGAGTGTGTAAGAGAGAGTGAGTGTATGAGAGTGTGTAAGAGAGAGTGAGTGTATGAGAGTGTGTAAGAGAGAGTGAGTGTATGAGAGTGTGTAAGAGAGAGTGAGTGTATGAGAGTGTGTAAGAGAGAGTGAGTGTATGAGAGTGTGTAAGAGAGAGTGAGTGTATGAGAGTGTGTGTGTGAGTGTATGAGAGTGTGTAATAGAGAGTGAGTGTATGAGAGTGTATGTGTGAGAGTGTGTGAGAGAGAGTGTAAGAGTGTGTGTGTTTGAGTGTATGAGAGTGTGTAATAGAGAGTGAGTTTGTGTGAGAGTGTGTGAGAGAGAGTGTAAGAGTGTGTGTGTGAGTGTATGAGAGTGTGTAAGAGCGAGTGAGTGTGTGTGTGAGAGAGAGAGTGTAAGAGTGTGTGTGTGTGAGTG